TGTACGATGTTTTTAATCGAGATCTTTTCCTATGATTCGTAACAGTCCAATGCTATATAGTAATATAGTAGTATATATGTATAAATCCAAGTAGTAATAGTAAATGGTACATCATGCTATAGCTTACTACTTTTATTATTGATTGCTTAGTATACATTCGCATTTACATTATAGCCAACTCGAAATACATTTTAATGCCTAAGAATTTTCATTACAATGACGCATTGGCATTATTTTCACATTAAAACTAGAAGCGATAACTGTTAATATAGCCGTTTAATGGAACTATTTTCATGCTACATTGAATAGTTCACTGCCAATTATAACGTGAATTGATAAGTGTAATATGTTTTTTAAACACTATCGTGCTACAATTGTGAATCCTAAAATAACATGACCTGTGCGATATAGACCATTAGAAATCTTAACTAACACTAGAACGGCGTTGCCCAATCATTGCGCGAAATACGGTGGCATTATTGAATACACTACAGCATGTAAGTAAAACAGATGCCCATTAATGTACATGTGTGTGTGTTGATGACTCTGCGTGTCGATCAGTGCATCGAATGAAACTTGACTGTCAATGCTTTTCATTTTTTGTTGAGGAATTACACACTTGCTCAAAAAATGACTAATAAATAAACAAGTAATAAATTTCGAAGTGAAGAAGGGACGATAAGCCTAGAGAATATAGCCTAATATACGCATGTGTATGGATATATATAGTCATCTGCAGGGCGCCGTAGCCAGCTTTATAATTTGCGGGGCGGGGGGGGTTCGTTTTTAACAATGCTTGCGCATTTGCTCGGCGAGGCGCGTGGTACCATGATTTGTACCAGGGGGGGTCTAACCGGTACACCCAAAGTTTCCGCGAGCACGCGTAAGGGGTGTCTGGGCGCCCCCTCCCCAGAATTTTTTAAAATTACACCCCCCTCAGATGCGGTTTTAGCTGACGCGAGCAAAGGGGGGGCCGGGACTCCTGGACCCCCCTGCTTACACGCCCCTGCTCCCGGCGCGGAAAGCGACCAGCGCCGAGCGGAGCCAAGCGACGAGCGGGGGGACGGGTGTGGAGGGGTGTTCACTGCTTCACCCTCCCGCACGATAGAGCGATTTTGCAATGATTACACTAAATATGGAAGCGACTGAGTGAAATTCTTGCAAATTTAAAAAAAATTTGCTTGAGGGGAGCTCGCTGCAGGGGGCGGCGTTCGTTGCGAACCCCCGCAACCCCCCCTGGCTACAGGGCCTGGTCATTGATACATGTGCTACCCATTGCGACACATAATTTATTCAGCGGGCCAGTGTAATTTTGCATGTATTTGTACATAAACAATGTACTCGATTCCCCATGAATGTGTATGTGTAAGAGCGTTGGCAAAACTATTATTTTTAAACTAAGTCATCAGGTGATTGCTATGCGTTAGAAATAAATATGTGTACAGTGTGTGTATGTGTGTTTGAACAATGTATACTGTGGGATTTATTCCCTGTGCTAATCTAATTAGTAATTCCCCACACACACAAAAGCAAAAATGTTGTTCTTTAAATATTAGGTTTATTCACTGATCATCACTGTCACTAAACATCTTCCCAACATAATCATCACAGCCTGATGAGTTTCCAACAATCACCATATGTATAGACAATACATTATTATAAACCTTTTACTATAAAATAGTAAAAATAAAGCCTATAAAGCCGTATACTATAAGATGATTTAATGTAGACATTTAATACCAACCTATATATATATATATACACACATGATGGATATCAATTTACTGGCCCATATGCATGATGGCTGGCTTCTTAACGTCACGACTCAAGAAACAGTTTAAGCGACAAACCAAGTCGATGAAATGAGATTGGAGAAGATCGTGAAGAGCCTAAGGTCTTGCCTGAACCTTCATGCTGGCAGGACCAGATCGAACCCGGGACTCTCGCTCCGGTCACACCGAAGCGACTGAGCCACCGCTCGGCTCCCCTTTACTGCTATGAAACAGTACGTTTATTAAAGGTGTGACGAACATTTTGCCCTTTTAATGACAGGTTATATTGTTGACCATGTGCAACATGCCTGAATGTCATGGAAGTATACGAACATCAACGACCAAGTCGAAGAATGGTTTTCCACACCATTGTGCCTGTCTGGCGATGATACCCATGCTCTTACCTAGTTCCAAAGAATAGCGTTGGCCAACAATCTCAAGCACTCTGTGCATTTGTTAGTGTTGTCTCTTCTCTCTCTGTTCCAGCTGAGACCCCGAAGCAACGCTCAGCGCGACAAACAAAGATATGGCTAGTCCTTAGTTGCTGGTACACCAAGCGCCATGTCACGCAGATGAATAAACTTGTAAGATGTCAGGCTTGCTTGGTGTCAGCCTGCCTTCACAGTCAGCACGGCATGGCTCACACTCTGACAACACGTTAGCAGCTTGCGCGCGTGACATAGCCAGCCCTATGTACACCACAATGTTAGTGATTGCCTGCTGCCTGATGGTGTGATCGGGCACTCTCCGACTGGACCCTCACAGGGCCAATTTCCTCCTCTTTTCCCTGCTCAAAGCGCCTGAGAGTCGTGGCGCGTCGGTGTGTAAGTCTGTGTTGGCGTCAGAAAAGCAACCACCTGTGTCATCCTGTAATGTCACATTCCCTTGTTGGTGCCAGCTGTGGCAAACACAGCTCCCTTGCCGCAGCTTTCGAAAAGCTGACACAAACTGCACAACATTGGGGTTGTTGTTCCATCACTGTATAACACTGCCAAATCCGAGGCACAATGCTTAATACAGTGCAAATAAAACATGGTTCAAGGCTTTATTGTATTACGAAGCATTAGAAGCTCTTTATGCTATCGAAACTGTTTAAATTCCTTGCCCATGTTAATGCTACATTGTAAGGTGACAGTGCACATTGTACCTGTTACTTAAAAGTTAAAGATACAGTTAACTTACAGCATCTGTGAATCTGAGTTGAAAAAAACAAACTGCAAGGTGGTCTTGGCTCAAACTTGCTAGGCAGGCGACGTATTCTGGATGCGGGGTGCTCACCTTCTAAACACAGCTCATGCCACCAGCCATGAGACGTGGATGTGACATCATACAAAGAAGCCCGTCTTTCTGTCCAAATTGTTCGAAAATAAATGATCAGATTTTACTGATTATTGCATCAACATCCATATT